AACCGTGAAAGGTGGGTCTGGACCTGCTACTTCGTGGCGTGGGCTTCTAAGTCTTCCGGGGTTTGGGGTTTCGTGGCCCTGGGAGCTGCCCCGAAAAGCTTCCAAGATCGGGCCTGACAAAATCTGAGTTTAGGGCTTTAGGGCTTTAGGCTTTAGGGCTTAGGGTTTAGGGCTTTAGGGTTTAGGGTGTAGACTTTTGGGTTTTTCTTTAAATTTCGATACCATACACTTATATCGGGACTGCAAGGGGGCAACATTAAGACTATTGCTAACTTGGAGACCTTCTTGCTACTTCGAGGCCCTCTAAGGGTAGCTGCGGCACAACTTGGCGAGGATTCGGGTACTGCGGCATATTGGTCACTCAGACTCAAGCGCATTATAGCTTCAAGATAAGCCAGTGAAACAACATCTGAGGGCCTGTTTGGGTTTAGGGTCTTGGGGCTTTCGGGGTGAGTATAAAGTATATGCCATGTCACATCATTCGAAGCTCTAGGGCTTTGTTGGGTTTAGGGTTTAGGATTTAGGGGGCTTTTAGGATCTTTTAGGTCAAGGGCTTTCCAGGATTTGGGGTTCTTGGGCTTCGATCGTCAAGGCTCTTCCGGCTCAGGCTTCTGGGTTAGGGTTTTGTCAAAGGTTGAAACCATAACCCCTAGTATGGGCCCTTAACCCTGGGATCCTCTTTCAGCTACTATATACCCTATATGCACCCTTAAGGGTCCCTAGAAAGGCCTAAGGGTCCATATTAGGGGCCCATACTTCCAATCTTAGACGTATGGCAGTTGCTAACTGTCTCCGACTAGGCTTCAAGCTTCAAGAAGTTGGCATTGCAGGACGATGGTAAAGGTTGAGGACTACGGCTTTTGCGCAAGTTATTGTATTGGTACATGGGAAGATCGTTAAAACCGAGCCAGTGCAGCCGCTACGGCTAAACAAGAAATCACTTAAAGCCTGAGCTAAAGCCGACCCGCACCACAAGCGCACACACAAGTTTTAGGGTTTAGGGTTTAAGGTATAGGGTTTAGGGTTTATGGTGGACGTCCAGGCAGAAGCTTCGAATCCTAACCGTAAACGCCAACCCTGTATAAGCCATTTTTTGAACCCAGACTCTGCCAATCATGAACCATAAACCCCGAAAGAAGCCAACGCCAATATCCGAGGGTCTGAAGCTCGAGAGAATGGATCCCGTGACATTCATGTAGTTGATGTCCAACTCTGTGTATGTCTGGGCCAGCAAAGTCAAGGCAATGTTGAAGACAGCCTGAGCGACAATGAGCACGGAGGAGGCACAAAGCTTGAAAGAGATCTCGGTTCCACAAGGCTCTACAATAGACTTTGTCTGGCTAAAGGATACTTTACGGGCCAAAAACATCCACATATATATATATATATAAATATGTATGTATATATGTACATATGTACATGTTACTGTATACACATACATATACGCATAGGTCTCAGGGCCATGTCATTACAGCGATCCCTTTGCCTTCCCTTTCAAGCGGCTCTACAATAAACAGTCAACAGTTAATGGCTTCGAGCTTATAGTAGAAGCCCAAAAGTTGGAAACCCAATAGCCTCCATCCTTAAGAGTCATGCATATTGAATCCCAGCACTATTTGTCCTTAATCCAGTTTCCAACTTTTTGGGGTTTACTGTAGGTACTTCTGTGGTTGTAGGATTTTGAAGATCCGGGATTCAGATCTTAGGGGCGCTGGAACGACATCTAAGGCTTAAGGCACTCAGGTTTCCAGGCATTGGGTTCAGTGAAGAAATTGAGGGTGTGGGATCTCGATCCGATCGATGTGTGAAGAAGCTTTGTGATATCGTACAGATTTCCTAAACCCTTTTTTGCATCCGGGCTTGTAAGTCGGCCGGGGAAGGTGGCTTCAACAAACCCTTTTTCGAAAACCGTTCCTGGGGCCCTAAACCCTAAACCCTAAACCCTAGAGTTTCAGCTCAAGCTCTGGGTTTGGGCTCAAACTCGGCAGCTTCACACCGACACCCAAGGGGGGTTTAGGGGTTAGGGTTTAGGGTTTAGGGTTTAGGGACAAACATAGTTCTGGCTATGATTATGACAACAACAGCAGTAGTAATGACTATCGTGGTAAACATTTACGTATTCTCTATACTTTGTTATCCTACACAGACACCCTGCAAGCCTTGCTGCCCATGTCCAGCTTAGGGGCACTGAAGGCGTTCACTGCAGAGATGGTGTTTCCGGCATGTGCAGTTGTGTCCTGAGAGCTCAGTAGACTAATTCATCAGCCGATGGCAACAGGCACATTTTTCAGCCCGTGCCCAAACTGGTTCAAAGACATGCGTGCAACAATCATTCCCGAGGATTTTGTTAGCTTTAAACCTTGCGAGAGAAGCCTGAAATCCAGTGAATCTAGTAGGCCTCGTAGGGAAGGCAGAGCACTACGAATTTCTTGTGCCGTCAAGGAATCCACTTTTCGAGCGTGACTTCGGTGATACACGCACTTAGAATGGGGCTTTGGGGTATACTATATACTACAATGACAATAACAGATGGTATCGGCCTGGCCCCTATATTACAACAGTGTGCTCCACTCCCCAGGTCGCAAGACCTAGTGCATTGATCTTAGGTTCAGATCTAAAGTTTAGGGTTTATGGCTTAGAGAAGCTCTAAAGCCAACACCATTCAATGCAAGATGAACTTCCTTCGCAAGCAGTTACGCGATCTACGTGCAGTATCCAAGGCTGGCACCCCATGCAACCCTGCACTATAAAGGACATTTAGCATAGTCAGGTCTGTATTCCCTAAACCCTAAACCCTTACTGTAGACTCCTAGAGGCTCTTCCCCCTGATTAGTTTTTTCGAACACATGATTTCCCCCCCCTGAGTGCCAAGCTCCCAGAGCTGCACAAATATTCGCACGATGTCGGCTCATCGCGTGGTAGGTGGTGAGATGGATGATCTGGGGGTCTTGAGGGTGGTGGAGTTTCGGGTTTGGGGCTCCACGATAGTGCCATGAGCCGGGCGATCCGTTTTTTTTGTGTGGGCTGGAAAGCTCTGCTTGAGGGTTTTACATTGGTTTAACCCAAAAAGAGGAACTGAAATGGAGACTACTTCTAGGTAGTTCGCCAACTCCCCAGGCAGAAAGTGGTAGATCTCTGATTTTCCCAGAATCGACTTCTGGAAGGGTATCTCATGCTTATAAGAACAGCACGAAACCCTGATTGAGAATTACTGAGCGACCCCCCCCAACATGCAGAAGCATCCTGACTCCAGATGCATCTCGATGGACCACGCCTTCTTTCTTGTGTTTCGTTCCTTCCCTTTTCTCTCTCTCTCTCTCTCTCTCTCTCTCTCTCGGGGCGATGCAGCGGCACCCTAATCGAAAAAGCTGCTAGTTTTGGAACTTAGGGTTGGCGCCACGATCGATGCGGGGCAGGAGGTTACACAGTTGTTGGCAGCTCGATGGTGTGATGCAACCATCACAACCAGGACTGGCCCCGGAACCCCAGAATGGCCCATAAAATCCTGACGAATCAACCCTAAATCCTGAACCTCTAAACCCCTAAACCCCTAAATCCCTAAATCCTAAACCCCTAAACCCCTAAACCCCTAAACCCTAAACCCTAAACCCTCAACCCTGACTAATCAAACCCTAGGGCAACTGCCGGGGCCTTGTGCGCATTGGTGGCGATGGCGCCAAAGGAAGCGATGCCTCCCTGGAAGCCTCAAGTTGAACCCCCGAATGGCCCTTTAAATAGACCCCTTATGGTTAGGGTTTAGGGTTTAGGGTTTAGGGTTTAGGGTTTAGGGTTTAGGGTTTTTGGCCCTTTTAATAGAGCCCTTATGGTCCTTCATAGTGGGTATTTAAGGGATAGTAGAGGGTAGTTGGGGGGGTCTCGGGCCCCTAATATTAGAGGAGTTTTCTAAATTAGGGTCCCTTTTGGGGTCCTTTTTATAAGGGTGCCGTACTATATTGGGGACCCAAAAAGGAACCCGAATTCAGAGAACTACCCAGTTGCAGGTTGCTCCAAAGGGCTTGGGCTTTAGGGTTTAGGGGTTTAGGGGTTTCAGGGGTTTAGAGTTAGAGGTTTAGGGGTTTTAAGGGCTTTAGGGGTTTAGGGGTTTAGGGGTTTTGGGTTTAGGCTTTATGTTCCGCAATGCCCTGAAACCCAAATCCTAAACCCCCTAAACCCTGAGCCAAGCTTCCCGTTCCACTGACAGAGGAAGCGCTCAAGAGGGCCAAGCCGTAGTGTTGCTCCAACCGCCACGTGGCCACCTTAACATTGTACCAGGGTCCGTCTTCGGCCTACTTGAAGTGTTTGGTTCATTGTGTTCTTGTGCTTTGTTGGGTTTGTATACAAGGGTTGCTGGGTTTTGTAGGACTGTAATGTCTGGGGTTAAGAGAGGTTCAGGGGCAAGCTTCAGGGCGGTGCCCGACGTCACGCAGGTCGACAAGGCACAAAGCCGGCACAAGATGCCTTGACGGATTTTACTGAGAAAAGCGGGTGCTTCACGGTGAGTTTCCCAAAGGGTCCAAGTTATAGTATAGTATATACTTTGGGGGTCCAAATACCTGCGCGGTAGCTACCATATTAGTACTTGGACCCTTTGGGTTTTTAAGAAAACGTAACTATTTGTTTCGCAGGGGAATCTTTTTTGGGGCCCCCTGGCTTTCTGGAAAACTCCTATCTCCCAAAGCATCACCAGAGATCACATGCCTAAGGCCCCAAGTATGCAACTAGCAATGTGTAAGGGCCTTAAAAACTAGAATAGGGTTTGGGGCCCATTATACTATAATTCAAAAAGGGAACCCCCAAGAATAGTATTGGTAATTATTTAGGCCCCTACATTACCCACTTTTGGTCGCAAGGCCCAAAGATAGTACCAACTTCAAGCTGCTTGGCACCCCAGCCCAAAACCTCTTCAGTCTCTTCGTCGCCTACCGTAAGCCTAGGGTTTAGGGGTTTAGGGTTCCTTGGGTCTCTTCGTCGCGTAACCGTACACCTGCGGTCCCTCACATAGGGGCCTTAAAAATTAGACTGCGGTTTTGGGGCCCAGTATACCATAATATAGGGACCTTAATAATTAGATTAGGGTTTGGGGGCCCATTATACTATAAGCGCATAATAGTAACGAGCCCCCAAAATAGTATTGGTAACTATTTAGGCCCCAACATTTACCGCTTTCGGCTGAAGGCCCCCTAAGTCCCGCACCACACAGGTGATGATGACCACAGCCGGAAGGCCTGGCGAGTTGTCTGCCCCAGGGTTCAGGGTTCAGGGCTTTAAGGGTTTAGGGTTTAGGGCGTTTTAGGGTTAAGGGTTAAGGGTTTAGGGCTTAGGGCTTTAAGGGTTCAGGGCTTTAAGGGTTTAGGGGTTTAGGGTTCAGAGTCGCCTTGGTTTAGTATCGGTCCTTTTCTCTCTGCTTCCCCAGGTCAGGGGGTCGAGTTTGCGGTGCAAAAGCTTAGGGCTTGACAGCTTCGGAGTTCGGTCCTTTTCGGGGCCCTTCTTCCGAAGTTCCGGCAGGTTTACTACATGGGTAGTTCTCTAAATTAGGGTCCCTTTTTGGGTCCCCAATATAGTACGGCACCCTTATAAAAAGGACCCTAAAAGGGACCCTAATTTAGAAAACCGCCCACATCCGCAAAGGACGCAAGCCAACGTCCGGCCCTGAACCCTTTAGACCCCGAGCCCTCCAAACCCCGAAACGCTGAAAAGCACAATAAGCCAAGCCTAAGGCGCTCGTATAGACCCCAAAAATGTGGGCCGAAGTATATTATAATAACCCCGAGAATAAGGCACCCCTAGCTTTATTTAGGAAGCCCACATGGTGAGATGACAAAGCCATAAATATCGCTCGTCGCAAGCTTCTTGAGGACTTGGGCGAAAGCCTTCGAGCTGCAACTCCCGAGGTAAAGCTTATGTGGGGTCTAATATAGGGGCCTTAATAATTAGAATAAGGTCTGGGGGCCCATGATACTATAAGTACAATAACGAACCCCCAAAATGATATTGGTAATTATTTAGGCCCCTACATTAAGGGGTTTTAGGGTTAAGGACGAAGGATTCGTCGAGCAGGTCCACAACGGGCATGAACCCTACTTGCGTTGCACTCCCAGCCTGTCGAGAAGAAGCCCTGCCCGAAACCTGCGCGCAAAAGCCGCAGCAATGAATTGCGAGCAACGCCAAATACGAAGTTCAAACTAAGGATCCACCATAACCATGACCATGATATGTAAACCTCAATGCCGTCAGATGGGCATGAGCCCTGCCTTGACAAACAAACTTGAACCCGACGGCCTGCAAGTAGAATCTTAATTAGTTAGTGATTCAATGATCCTAAACCCTAAACCCTTTTTGCATCAGGACTTGTGCAATCGCCCCCTAAACCCTAAACCCTAAACCCCATAATAGCTCTCAACCTGAACAGATCTCAGCAGTGTACGCTAAACTAAAACCCGACTGCGGCAGTCGCAGTCGGAGAGCGCGGGACTTCAGGGATTCAGATTTCGGGCTCGGAGTTTCGGGGTTTGGGGTTTAGGTTTTAAGGTTAGGGTTTAGGGTTTAAGGTTTAGGGTTTAGGGTTTAGGGTTTAAGGTTTAGGGTTTAGGAGTCTGAGTGCTATTCGTCCGCCAACATGGATCAAGACGTTAAGACCTATTTTCCGTGAGCTATGACGAACTGGTTTGCATGCATATCTATGACTGTCCATATTTCCCCGAGGCACTCCGATACATATCGTTCGCACAGTAGCGCTTCTGGTGTTCTCGCTGTATCCTCTTCGATGATTTGGTTTAGGGTGCGGAGATGTGTAGTAAAAGCGCTAAGGGATTGTAGTCTGAATTTGAAATGCGGCTCCGGGTGACAGGCCGAGGGCTAGTGTTGGCATCCAGGGAAAAGGTTTGATAAGGGTTTTTCAGATTAATGTCTCTTATTTTTGTGTACGGCTTGAGCTGTATACTTTTTCAATAGCTTTATAGGTGTGCAGGACTCATCATGCAAATAGAGTTACGCCTCGAACATGCTTCCTGCACAGGGCCTTGAAGGACGACTTGTACGATCCCCAGGTCCGCGTTCATAGCCAGTGATCGCACCGGTGCGTAATCGGTTGAAGTGAAGTATTCACCTGACAGGCCCAGTCGCAAAGGGCACGTCAGCCTTAAACCCTAAACCCTATACCCCAAACCCAATAAAGCCCTTTTGTAAAGCCTTATGGGATTGAGGGTACCTATGCTCGTAAGAATAGGGTTTAATTAGGGTTTAAGCTGTAACTGTACTGTAGCCTTATACAGTTTAAGCCGGAAGTCTGGGATCTCATCGTCCTAGAAGCCGTACGGTCTATCAAGGGACGTTCGAAAGGAACACAGATCGTAGGCATTAGGACTTCAGGCATCTCAAACGCCTTCCTTCTGCATCATGGAGTTCCACTGTGGATGCCGTACATTCTCTGGAACCCTGACGCACAGTCGGCAACTACCCAAAAAGACAACTCGCACACAATATCCCAAGGTCCGGGATTGCAACAAACAGGTCACTCTTTGCAGCCCAGGGCGCCCAAAAGAACGCAAACCTCGGGGATCACCTGGCCCATTAGCCTCGGAAGACAATTGCGTGCTGAAGTTTCGCGCAACTGCTACTACTTGCACCACCACCAACAGTAGTAGCGGTGTGAGAAGTATAGTCTTACTGTTGCTATTCTTCTGAATCTTACTAAAAAGCCCAAACCCTAAACCCTTAATCTTAAACCCCT